TGCTCTGTCTGAAGTGCCGAACACAGAGCACACTCACGGGCGATTTTAATACTCATGTCAGGATAGAGACTGAAAACTGGAAAGGCGTGATTTGAAAGAAGGGCCATAGGGATCTCAACAATAGTGGCATGAAGTTGTTGCGGTTTTGTACATACAAAGAACTATCTATTACAAACACCTTCTTCGAGCACCAGTATACCTGGTACAGAATAGCAGTGTACCAGAGTCGATGGTTCACTTGATAACCGTATTATCTGACTTAAGACACTCAGTAATGGATGTTCGCGTTAATAGAGGCGCAGAGCTGTCAACCGATCACCACCTTGCTGTTGGAACGCCATGCTGTAAGAAATGGAGTAATCAGGTGGCAGAAGCAACCAGAGAATCAAATGGGAAGCATTATCTTCGGAGGACACGAGAGCAAAATTTGCAAATAACATCGCATAACGGTTTGAACAGATCCCCAGTGGGAGCTCTTTAAGTGCGGAATACTCCAAGCTGCCGCCGAATGCTGCGGATTCAAATAGGATGGCTTGCCACCTGAAGGTCAGAAAAGAACTTCCTGGTGGACAAGAAAGGTATAGGTGATAGTTAAAGAGAAGCAGGCTGCATTCAAGAAATGGCTTGGAAGCAAAGAGCCTTGCATTCACATGCAGTACCAAGTAGCAGGTAATGCGATAGCGAATAGCGATTCCTGGGAAAAGTTCGATGACATGGTGGAGGAGAATTTCCAGACGGCAAATATGGTATGCTTACAACTATGCGCCACCTTCGAGATATAAACAAGGGAAAGCTGAGAAATTCTGAAGGATAAGCGTGTATGCCTTCTTATAAAGTACATAGTTCTTCCATACTCTCTCATGGACAGAGTATTTTGAGGAGCTCCTTAACCAGGAGCAGCGGCAGGAAACCTGACCTGAAGAGCGGCAGAGAAAGGACCGCAGATGTACTCACAGAAGCTGTGAGAAGCTCAAAAAGTGGAAGGGCTTTTGGAATCAATGAAATCCGCCCTGAAATGCTCAAAGCAATAGGTGAACAAAGCATGTGCTACCTTACACGTGCCTGCCAAACTGCAATAGCTACGGGAAAGACGCGGACTGAAGAACGGAAGTTGTAGCACCATTGTTCAAGAAGGGAGAGCATAGGGAGTGCTTCAATTATCGAAGCATTACTTTAATGCGTCTTACGAGAACAGACTATGGAAATGAGTTATGAAGTGACAGAAAATAACTCATCCTATCATGAAAGAAGAGCAGTGTGGCTTCCAGCCAGGCTGAAGCACTTCTGACCAGAACTTCTTATTACTATAAATTGTTGTCAGGAGTTCGCTCATGCGGTTTACATGTGCATTGTTGACATATGTTGCATGAAAATCTAGGTACGAATTTTGCGTAACAGTCTATGAGCATACCTGCGCACATGTGGTATTGATGGGCAGCTCCTACGGGTCATCCAATCAATATATGTTGAGAGCAAGGCAGCTGCGCCAGAGTAAATGGCGCTATGTCGAACCATTTCAACGTTGCCATTAGTCTCCGCCA